CCAGTTTTCTGTTGTTTTATTGTTTCGATCCATTTTTAGTGTAGAGGGGAGGGTGTGGTTTCATATTCCTGCAAATGAATGTCAACTTTTCCCAGTACTATTTATTAAAGAGTCTGCTTTTTCAGAGCATTTTTTCATTAATCTTTATTCAGTAATTTTTGTATTCAATACAGTCTCTCAAAATGGATGTAGACTTGTTAAGAATGAGAGAGATTCATTATCCATTATCCTTTTTTTTCTCCTAGATTTTCTATCTTGAGGTCACTATTTTCCAATCAACTTATGGCAGGGGGACAGGTAGAGAGAAATTCAAATACATCTCAGAAATATGATTAAATCTATTGATAAAAACTATTTTTGAATGTCTTATTACACTAACAAATTCTTTCCAACTAAAATTCCATTTTTCTCCTGTTAAACCACGAAAAAAAAATATCATAGTGTATAGTGTTGGTATCAAAAGGACTCTGAATGTAGACTTAACTTTAAATTCTGAATACAACATCTTATAGCCTGTGTGACTTTGGGTTTAACCATGGTAAATCAGTGTTGTCTTCTACAAATTAAATATACTAATGTACACTACACAGATGTAATAATAATTATAAATCATGTGTGACATGCCAAGCACTATTGAAAACATTAGATAAATGTTAGTTCATCCTTTCCTCAAAATAAAAGGTTATTTTTTCTTTTACTGAGTGGTCTCTTTTTAAAAAAGAATAAACTACTATTTCTTGTATAGAATCCCCCAAAAAAGAAAGAGAACACCTTAAGCAAAGGATATAATGAAGCTTAAAACAGTCAACAGTTGGCTAAATTCTTTGAAAAAAAATGTGCGAATGATTCTAAGGATTTTCCTGATCTACAAAGAAACTGTTTCTTTCAGGTGGCCAGCTAAGTGGTACCACTTTCATCAAGAAAAAGCCCTAAGAATGTAACAAAGTGCATAGAGAAATACTGATAAACAGAGAGAGGAACTAATAAAATAACCTCCAGAAAATAAAAATAACTATAAACATGAAGAGCAAGCAGATTGGAATTTTCATAATCTTGCCTGAGTATTCCAAAAAATTAAATAACTAGATGACTTAATTTGAATATGATTTTGCTATGAAATTATATGCCTTACCAAACTGTATCTATTATATATGTATACATATATATCACTCCAAAGAGTTGGGCAAAATCAAGTATCCTAGGCTTCATTAATAAGCTAAGTGAATTTTTTTTTTTTTTTGAGACGGAGTTTCGGTCTTGTTGCCCAGGCTAAAGTGCAACAGCGCGATCTTGGCTCACCACAACCTCTGCCTCCAGGGTAAAAGCGATTCTCCTGCCTCAGCCTCCTGAGTAGCTGGGATTAAAGGCATGCACCACCACAACCAGCTAATTTTTGTATTTTTAGTAGAGACGGGGTTTCTCCATGTTGGTCAGGCTGGTCTCAAACTCCCGACCTCAGGCGATCAGCCTGCCTCAACCTCCCAAAGTGGTGGGATTACAGGAATGAGCCTCCATGCCCGGCCAGTTAAGTGATCTTTTAAGAGTACACAGAACTGCAATTTCACTGTATAATAAAATGGTTAAGAATATACATTATTATATACTGCCAATTAAAATAGTACTTTCTCAAATACAAAATTACTTTTCAGTTTTTACTGATTTAGTTTTTAAATAATCACCTATAAGGAAATTAATGTCATAAGTAAACCACTATGTTCAGGGAATTTATTCTGAAAACTCGATTATTCTTTCAATCTCATTTGAAATTTTGGCTATTCTGCTTTCTGCAAGATATAGTTCTTATACAAATCCTATTCCCTACCCATTCTTAAATAATTTAACTCAGGAAATTACATTTTCATGTTTATATTATCCTCTATTATCTTTTTGATGAAGAAAAATATGGTCAATAACTTGTTTTACATCTTGTTTCAGAATTCTGTGTGAATTCTAAATAGAAGGTTATCTTAACCAGAAAGTTCTTGTTAACCTTGAAGAAGGTGTCATGGTGGCTTTCTGAAAGTAATAATAACAGCGCTAACAATAACAAAAAAAATTAAATCTGACCTCAAACTAGATTTACAAACTAGAACATTAGGAATTGTGTCACGTCATATGTTACAGTCAAATTAAGAAATGTGTCATGCTATGTGTTATATTCAACCTATCTTATTCACCACCCTAGCTGTATTATCAGCTGCACTTTAGTCACTTTTTAAAAACATAGAGGCACAGTATCTAATCTCAAAGAATCTGATTATATAAGTTAGTTTTTTTTTTTCCAACCAACCTCCAAAGAGGATGCCAAGGTATGGCCATGTTTGGAAATCACCAGCATATGCCTTCTACATCCATTATGCAATAATAGAATGGGAACTGTGAAGGCAAGGTTATATACCCAAAGATTAGCGATATTGACTGTGTAAAATTTACTATGGCAGTAAGGTTGACATAATACATTTCGCAACAATAAAATATTAGAAATGGTACAAATATTCCTATTTCTTTAAACATCATATAACACAAAGCAACCAGCTAAGTTTTTAAGTGCCTTCCATAAATGCACCAAAAAAGTCCTAATGCACCACAGTGAAAAGAAAAATTAGCAACATGACATTTTTTCTGTTTCCTAATTGGTTTATTATACAACGCTTATATCTATTTCCACAAAAACATACTCTATAAGCAAAACAATTATTTTGAAAGACATTTGTTGAAGTATAAAGAATAACATGAAAAATACCTTTTCCCAGGAAAATAGTCCAACATTTCATACTACAAACCCAGGAGGATAAATACAGATTATCTTAGAGAACCTTTTTGAGAACTACCTACAAATAATCAAATGAGATAAAGCCAAACAGTTTTAATCTATGTTGAATTGTGGAACTGTCTTTATGTTTTTGTTGTCAGCGTTAGCACAGGGGGGAAAAAAAAAAAACCTTTGTTAAAATATAAAATTGTTTAAAATACGCTATTCCTTCCTCCAGTCTGAACAACTTGCTTGAAAAAATGGAACTCATATTTGCTTCTATATTTCCACAGCATTAAGAAACAAGCATTACTAAGAATAAGGTAATCTGTTGCCATAATTAAGAACATACAATGGGCCCAACTAATCAGCATGATGTAGTCAAAGAGAAAGACTACCACAAGTTTCAGGAGTTAAAAAAGTTGTATCTACCACCTACTACCTGCATGGCTTTGGCAAGTTCCTGTTACTGTCGTCTGTTTAATCTTCTGAAAATTAGGATAATAATATCATGCTACAAGGTAGGTTAAAAATTTTGTATATAAATTACTTAACACAGTACCTAGCACATAGAAGGAAATTAAATAAGAGTAATAATTAGAATCATCATAATCTGACATCTATTTCTGAAACAAAATTCTCCAAATTTTTTCACCTACGTTTTTTGACACATAAAACTTGATATATCATAATCTTCAACAATATGAAAAAATAAAAATACATTCTCATTATGTCAGCCAGAAAATAGCTCAACCTTAAATTCTTCATTGAAGTACAGACATTGTGTGGAAGCTCCTTGAAGAACCTTTTGCAAAAGTTCAAAATTCCACTTCATGGATTTTTAACAATAACAACAACAATCTATACTTTTTGTGGGACTTTTTCCCCCGAAGAAAAACAAACAAAACTTTCATCAACTTCCACAAAAATAAGCCCAGTGTTTTATCACCACAGCCAAAACAAATACATATTGACAGGCCCAACCTAGCAATGAGATAAAGTCACTGCCAGCCTAGATTCAGTACTTCATTCAACTCATTTGACTAATTTCAAACAATGATTAATGAGCCTCCTAAAAGCTAAGACAATCCCATATTCATCGGGAGTTATCACTTCAAATAATTATTTCAAAACGAAAAAGATTAAATTATTAGTATGGAATGATTAATCACAGAATGACATTCATTACTTAGATTTAAAAACCATGCTTAACTTTATTACTAGGAATTTCCTTTGAAACAACCGTAATAGTAAAAAGATTAAAGTGCTTATTAATAGTCATAGTTTTCTTTACATGATTCTACTTGAAATAATTTACCAAAGCAGATTATGTGCCTTTACGAGGTTTAAGAGAAAAAGTATACTTCTTACATCTATTAAATGTGTTATTCTTTTATTTTTACTTATAAAAATGTTTCCTAATTGCTTCAAATTGGTATAATACTTTATAGCCTCGATAAAAGGTGCTCTTAAGTACTGATAAGTATATTTTAAATATCAGCTAGGTTTTATATATAGTTTGATACATAGAAAAACAATGTTTTCACTACAAGGGTCTACTGGATACCTAAATTTAGTATTTCAATAAATACATTCACTTAAATATTCAGAAATTGATAGGACTACATTGCATAACTAAAACTGGTGAGTCGTATAAATGCATTCTGTTTTTGGTTCTTTGGGAAAACATGCTTATGTAGTTGTTTCCCAGATACATCTGGGTTTCCATTTCGTCTCAAAATCTTATTTCTTTAGCTCTACTATCTCTATTCCTTTCTCCAGTTCTATCAGATTCCTATACTTAGTAAGTATACCTGAAATGTTTAATATAAAATATATTTTTGCTTATCCCTTAAAATCTAAAATGGTTACATTCCTACTATGTATAAAAATTTACATAATTTGACAGTATTCCATATCTACCCATTATCAAAATTAATATGTAGCAAACACAATAAACTGATAATAGTGTTCACAAAGGGAAACAACATAAAAAGTCATCAAAAAGGACATCCAAATCTAGCTTTTTGTACTTCTCTGTATCTACCACTACTTCTGCTCAGTACTTCTGTTCTCATGGCTCTATTACTATAATACTACTATGCTGAAATTAGAAAGAATTCCATTCATATTCTATCACTTATCTCTAAAATGACATATACACATGCTATCAATTAATGTATTTGAGAATATCTATATGGAAAATTTCTGATATTTCCTACTTTGTACAATCCTAACAGATACATACCTATGTCATATGCCAGGAAATCGGCAGAAAAACATTTTGCACCGTTACTCAAGGAAGTGTCATTATGGGTATTTCCTCCAAAAATAAGCATAGCTCCATTGATAAGAACAGCTGAATGAAGGTATCTGGCAAACCCACTTTCTTTCAAAATAGTCCTACAGAATAAAATTTAAAAATGTATTACAATGGATAAAATGACCTCCCTGATTTTATATATGTTATATAAAGGGTGTACTTTGCATATAGAGTTTTCCCTGGAATTGTGGTGGGAAAAACATATTTTTTAACAATTTATAAACGACCTCTAAACTTCAATATTTCAAAAAAAATATTTTGAGGCTCACAGCATCTTAAAATGCTTTGAGGAGACACAATATCAAAAAGAATTTTTAATACTCATAATAATTTATGTTATAAATTATTTTTTCAGTTACAAAGATAGGAAACAAGCCATCTTAAAACTAGAGGCTCAAAACATAATTTTAAAATACCAAATAAGTAAAATGTTAAATGTAGTAAATTTAGTCTAAACTGTATTTGGTTAAAACTGTATAACTCATACAGACCCCATAATGAAATGTTAAGTTTTTATTTAAGTATAACATGCATAAAACTGCACATATCAGAAGTCTAAAACTCAATGATTTTTCACAACATGAACACAACTAAGTAATCAGCACTCACCTAAAAAACTATAAGAATATTACCACTATTCTAACAGCATAAATTCATTTGCTGTTTTTGTACCTTACCTAAGTGGAGTCTATAGATTGTACTCATTTATGAATAGGTACATTTGCTCAAGATATATATATTTGAGATACATATTTTGTGTGTAATCAAAAATTACAATTGCAATGCATCTTGTGAAACATTAAAATTAATATAAAAGTATAATTCTAAGAGAAAGTATTATAAATATATGCTCACAATTATAACTGATCTGAATGAATGGATATGTAGTAAAGGTGCATGGCAATATAAATAAATACTAAATAACTACTCTAACACCCTGATACAAACAATTAGAAGTTAGAATTATTATATACATAAACATAGCTAATATGTAAAGTATAGCTAGTATAGTATATGTAATAGCTCTAAAACCATGATTATAATACCAATTAATTCCTAAAGAATATGAAGCTCAGCGAGGTGTGGTGTTGTCTCATGCCTGTAACCCCAGCACTTTGAGAGGCCAAGGCAGGTGGATCACGAGGTCAGGAGATCCAGACCATCCTGGCTAACACGGTGAAACCCTGTCTCTACTAAAAATACAAAAAATTACCCGAGCATGGTGGCACACGCCTATACTCCCAGCTACTCGAGAGGCTGAGGCAGGAGAATCGCTTGAACCCAGGAGGCAGAGGTTGCAGTGAGCCAAGATCGCACCACTGCACTCCAGCCTGGGCAACAGAGTGAGACTCTGTCTCACAAAAAAAAAAAAAGAAGGAAAAAGAATATGAAGCTCACTTACAGAATGGTAACATGAGGAGTTCCACAAACACTCCCACTAGGAAAAGAATTATAATTGGTAAAAATTATAAAAAGCAACCATTAACCTTCTCAGAAAATCTTACTAAGACCAACACCAAATAAAGAAACATTTATTCAAAAAGAACAGCAATAGTCTATGGCAATAGATACATTACTTACCCCAACCCCCTCACCCCTGCCTCACACACACACAATCAGTTCAGCATGATAGAAATTCTACCACAGGCAAGTAAAGCCAAGAACATAAGGCCCCTTCATCCCTCAACTCCCACTCCAGGCCAGCGATATCTCACTAGGAGTGGCAGGATACCAGCACTTCTCATTCCCTCCAGCTCTGGGTTACAGAAGCTCTGTTCTGGGAAAGATCATGAGAGGTCTGGGTGCTCTTCCTCTGCCCAGTTGCCACTCATAGGGTGGTAGCTATACACCAATTCCTGCAGATTAACAACATTGGACCCAAAAGTCTTCATCCCACCTCACTCATGAGGCAGAGTGTTGCATGCCAAAAGACCCAAGCTGAGAAGACTCCAGAGACTACTATCTCCATCTAGTGCTCTGTACATAAAGTAGTGGTGTCACTCTAAGAGGAACAGGCCACTAAGCCCACCAACCTACAATTCCAAAGCAGTAGCTCAGAACTTTTCCCCAGGAGGAGAGGTAGGCTGAGAAAAAATACAGCCCCGGCCGGGCATGGTGCTCACGCCTGCAATCCCAGCACTTTGGGAGGCCGAGGTGGGCGAATCACGAGGTCAGGAGTTCTAGACCAGGGTGGCCAACATGGTGAAATCCCGTCTCTACTAAAAATACAAAAAATTAGCTGGGCGTGGTAGTGCACACCTGTAGTCCCAGCTAGTCAGGAGGCTGAGGCAGAAGAATCGTTTGAACCCGGGAGGCGGAGGTTCCAGCGAGCTGAGATCGCACCACTGCACTCTAGCTCAGGTGACGGAGTGAGACTCCATCACAAAAATAAAATAAAATAAAATAAAATAAAATAATCTCTGGTCTCTAATTTTTCTTTACAAAACAAACAAGAAAAACTATAATCTAGTGAACAGTAAATTAATAATATGGATCAAAGAACAAAATATTCTCTACTAGAGCAATATTTAAGCTAAGATAATTTAAATACAATAATGAAGCAGGTAGAACTTATTCCAAGTATCTGGTAGGCTGGTTCAACATTCAAAGTCAATTGATTCAATCCATCATGTTGATAAGCTAACAAAGAAAATCATATGATCATATCAATAGATGGAGAAAAAGCATTGACAAAACTCAACATTCAGTCATGATAAAAACTCAGCAAACTAGAAATAGAGGGAAAATACCTCAGCTTGATAAACATCTATAAAAACATCATATTTAATGGTGAGAAACAATGTTTTCCTTCCAAGAAAAGGAATAAAGTAAGGATGTTTCATCTCACCATTTCTATTCAACATTTTCGTTGAAGTCCCTGCTACTGCAATAAGACAAGAGAAGGAAATAAAAGTTATACAGATTGGGAAGGAAGAAAATAAAACTGTCTTTTTTCACAAATGATATGACTGTCTACGAAGTAAATCCCAAAGAATCAACAACAACAACAAAAACAAAAAGCCCTCTAGAACTAATAAGCTAGTATAGCAAGGTTGCAGGACACAAGGGTAACACACAATTGATTTTTTTATACACCAGCAGTGAACAAGTAGAAAAACACAATACCATTTACATTAGAACCAAAAGAAGACAAATACTGAGGTATAAACCTCACAAAATATGTACAAGACTGGTATGAGGAAAGCTACAAACAATAAAAGAAACCAAAAATCTAAATAAATAAAGAGATAGTACATGAACACAGATAGGAAAACTAATACTGGCAATATGCCAGTTCTTCCCAACTTGATATACAGATTCAGTGTAATACAAATCAAAACCAGTAAGATTTTTAGTAATAAGTTTACTAAATTTATATGTAAATGCAAAAGACCTAAAATAGCCAGCACAATATTGAAGAAGAACAAAGACAAAGATTGCAACTACCTGGCTTTGGGACTTACTATAAAGCTACAGTAATCAAGTCAGTCCCTGGGACTGGCAAAACAATAGACGAATAAATCAAGGAAACAGAATAGAGAGCTCAGAAATAGACACACACAAATATAGTCAACTGATCTTTGACAAAATAGAAAAAACAATTCAACAATGAAAGGATTGTCTATTGGACAAATATTGCTGGAACAACAGGGCATCACAGTAGCAATAATGGAAATAATCATCTAGATACAGACCTTACATCTTTTACAAAAATTAACTCAAAATAGATCACAGACCTAAATGTAAAATGCAAAATTATTTAATATAAAACTCCTAGAAGATAACATAGGAGAAAATCTAGGTGACCTTGGGTTTGGTGATGACATTTTAGATACAGCAACAAAAGCATAAATGATGCAAAAAAAAAGTCATAATTTGGACTCTATTAAAATTGAAAACCTCTCCTCAGTGAAAGGCATTGTTATGAGAATGAAACAACAAGCCACAGCTTGGGAGAACATATTTGTAACATAAAGCTGATAAAGGACTGGTATCCAAAATATGCAAGGATCCCTTAAAAGTCAACAACAAGCTCAATTTTTAAAAAGGCAAAAGATATGAACAGACACCTTTCCAAAGAAGACATATAGATGTCAAATAAACACGTTAAAAGATGTCCCACATTACATATCACAGGGAAATGCAGATTAAAATAACAATGGGATACCACTACACACATATTAGAATAGCTAAAATCTAAAATGCTGACAAAAGATGGCAAGGATCTAGAACAACAGGAACTCTCATTCATTGCTGCTGGGAATGAAAAATGATACAGCCAGCCACTTTGGCAGTTTCTCACAAAACTAAACATAACTTTATCTTACCATCCAGGAATTGCGCTCCAAGGTATTTACCTGAATGAGCTGAAAATATGTACACACAAAAACCTGCACACAGATGTTTATAGCAGCTTTATTCATAATTGTCAAAATTTGGAGGCAATCAAGGTGTTCTTCAATAGGTAAGTGGATAAACAAAAGATGATTTCCATACAATGGAACATAATTCAGCAATAAAAGGCATAGGCTATTATGTCATGAAGAGACATAAAGGAACTTTACATGCTTATTGCTAAGTGAAAGAAGCCAAAATTAAAAGCCTATGTAGTACATGATTCTAGCTTTATGACATTCTAGAAAAGGAAAAACTATGGAGACAGTAAAAATATCAGTGGTTGCCAAGAGTTTGGAGGGAGGAAGAGATAAGCAAGAAGAGCACAGGTTATTTTTAGGAAAATTAAAATATTCTGTATGAAATGATCATGGTAGATATATGTCACTATACATTTGTGAAAATCCATAGAATATACAGCACAAAAGTGAACCCTAACATAAACTATGGACTTTAGTTAATGAATAATTTATCAACACTGACTCACTGATTGTACCAAATGTACCATATTCACGCAAGACACTTATAACAGAGGACCTAGGGATGGGGTGATAAGGGAGTATTGGGAAACATTCTGTACTTTCTGCTCATTTATCCATTAAACTAAAACTGCTCTAAAACATAAAGTCTATTGTTAAAAAAAAAAAAGGTGGGGATTAAAATTACATCTGCTTTACCAGATATG